TTGAACAATATTAAATATGTTCTAAGAGTATATAATTCATGGGGAGTTTTTTAGCTAACTTTGAAATTGTTTTATGTGACTAAACCTAGTTTAAATTATGGGTTAATACCTATTTTCACCCCTGACATATGGGGTGTATTTGAAAAACCCCCCTGTAAAAAAAAAAGTTCCAATTGTTACCTTGACAAATTTTAAAAGTTTCAATTTTTACCTTGAGGATGCCACATCCCTAAAAAGGCTGATGTGGCTTATATTTTTGTTATATTTTTATTATTATTTAATGACATGGCTTGATTAGTTGTCATTTTTAATTAATTTTTAATTTTTAATTCCACATGGCATTTATATTAATATTTTATTAATTGAGTGTTAATTCAAAGTTAAAAAATTTTTGTCCTTCAGCAAGATTCGAACCATGGACATTATGTTTGCAATAAACGCTTCTTACCACTAGACCAATGCATTTTCTTTGTTACATATATGCATCAATAAATATTCATATCATTAACATATTAATTACAATTATCAATAAATTTTCTTAACTAGTTGATTTAAATAATTTTTAAAAAAATGTTTTATACATATTTTATCTTTTTACTCTAACTTTTTTTAAATTTTAAATTTTCAAAAATCACTTAAATTTAAAAAAATCACTTAAATTTTCAAAAAACACTTAAATTTAAAAAAAATCACTTAAATTTAAAAAAATCACTTAAATTTTCAAAAATCACTTAAATTTTCAAAAGTCACTTAAATTTTCAAAAATCACTTAAATTTTCAAAAATCACTTAAATTTTCAAAAATCACTTAAATTTTCAAAAATCACTTTAATTTTCAAAAATCACTTAAATTTTCAAAAATCACTTAAATTTTCAAAAATCACTTAAATTTTCAAAAGTCACTTAAATTTTCAAAAATCACTTAAATTTTCAAAAATCACTTAAATTTTCAAAAATCACTTAAATTTTCAAAAATCACTTAAATTTTCAAAAGTCACTTAAATTTTCAAAAGTCACTTAAATTTTCAAAAATCACTTAAATTTTCAAAAATCACTTAAATTTTCAAAAATCACTTAAATTTAAAAAAATCACTTAAATTTAAAAAAATAAGTTAAATTTAAGTGATTTTTGAAAATTTAAGTGATTTTTGAAAATTTAAGTGATTTTTGAAAATTTAAGTGACTTTTGAAAATTTAAGTGACTTTTGAAAATTTAAGTGACTTTTGAAAATTTAAGTGATTTTTGAAAATTTAAGTGATTTTTGAAAATTTAAGTGATTTTTGAAAATTTAAGTGACTTTTGAAAATTTAAGTGACTTTTGAAAATTTAAGTGACTTTTGAAAATTTAAGTGACTTTTGAAAATTTAAGTGATTTTTGAAAATTTAAGTGATTTTTGAAAATTTAAGTGATTTTTGAAAATTTAAGTGACTTTTGAAAATTTAAGTGATTTTTGAAAATTTAAGTGATTTTTGAAAATTTAAGTGATTTTTGAAAATTAAAGTGATTTTTGAAAATTTAAGTGATTTTTGAAAATTTAAGTGATTTTTGAAAATTTAAGTGATTTTTGAAAATTTAAGTGACTTTTGAAAATTTAAGTGATTTTTGAAAATTTAAGTGATTTTTTTAAATTTAAGTGATTTTTTTTAAATTTAAGTGTTTTTTGAAAATTTAAGTGATTTTTTTAAATTTAAGTGATTTTTGAAAATTTAAAATTTAAAAAAAGTTAGAGTAAAAAGATAAAATATGTATAAAACATTTTTTTAAAAATTATTTAAATCAACTAGTTAAGAAAATTTATTGATAATTGTAATTAATATGTTAATGATATGAATATTTATTGATGCATATATGTAACAAAGAAAATGCATTGGTCTAGTGGTAAGAAGCGTTTATTGCAAACATAATGTCCATGGTTCGAATCTTGCTGAAGGACAAAAATTTTTTAACTTTGAATTAACACTCAATTAATAAAATATTAATATAAATGCCATGTGGAATTAAAAATTAAAAATTAATTAAAAATGACAACTAATCAAGCCATGTCATTAAATAATAATAAAAATATAACAAAAATATAAGCCACATCAGCCTTTTTAGGGATGTGGCATCCTCAAGGTAAAAATTGAAACTTTTAAAATTTGTCAAGGTAACAATTGGAACTTTTTTTTTTACAGGGGGGTTTTTCAAATACACCCCATATGTCAGGGGTGAAAATAGGTATTAACCCTTAAATTATTTATCAAAATACATGGTTTTGTCATCATCAAAAAGGGGGAGAATGTAAGAACAAGATTTGGTTATGCATCTGGCCTTTAGTTTTGATGATAACAATACATAGGTGATTTGATAATAATTTAGTACCCTAATGGTTTTATCCAGTGTGTAAATTTTGCTGACTGGTTCTAAATCTTAAGATATGGCGTGTGAAATCATCATACTTTGGATTCAACACACTAAGTGAAATAAGTGCGTGATACAAGGATCACAATGCTTCTAAAAACAACGGTTAAAGGAGCGTTAGTCTTTTAAAGATTATGACTATTACTTTGATGGTAGAGCTTCTGAAGGCTTCTCAAGCTCTAAAGATTCTAGGATCTCTTGCTCCAAGGTTCTAAAAACTCTAAAGATAAGGTTTTGGTGAACAAGTTATGGAGACTCTGAAGATCAACAGTTATAAAGACCAACATGCTGAAGACTCTAAAGACATGGTTATGTTGAACAAGTTCTAAAGACTCTGAAGACAATGATTTTGGAGACAAGTTTTGATCCTTCTAACATCCTTCAACTCATATATATTTTGAAGCCTCTGAATATTATAAGATAAGATCAAAAGTTTTTACGTGAGAAATAGTAAAAGATCACCTCTTCCCACTACTCTGATTTTATGAGAAAAAGACTATACTATTGGTACGATGTTGTCTACCACTCACACTGTTCGTTATGCAAGAAGAAAGATGTAGTTTTGGATTTCTTATTCTACCCTCTAACATATTTATTTTTGGATTTAAAAGGAATACTTGGAAGAATTGGAAAAACTAACGCTTTTGTAAAGAACTTTTTACGCTTAATCATAATGCTAAAATGCTGCTGAAAATTCATTGAAAATATTTTGTAAAGTTTTATAGAGCAAGGAAATTTTGTTCATTAACTTGCTAGAAATGAACTATTGTTTGCTAACTTGCTTCTAACACTGATGTGTTATTTCCGTGTATTTCAACAAGTGTATACCTGCTTTCTTATAAGAATCTTGTAAGCACACAATCTTGTATTTCAACCTTGAGTTTATAGTTCCTTGATAGACTAGGGCTTTAGTTAGTATTCTCAAGAAGACATTGACGGCTAGTCTTTATGTCTGTAATCAACTCGGTTATAGTGGATTAAGTCCTTATTGAGAAGGCAAAATCACCTTAGCTGGTGGACTGGATTAACTTAGTAAACACTGAACCAGGATAAATATAATTGTGTTAATTTATTTATTTTCTTGTGTTAACTTAAAAATTTTGGTTTCAAAAAGTTTTCATTCTTAGAAACCCAATTCAAACCACTCATTTCTTGTGTTTCTTGCACCTTCACCACTGACATATCTCTATCCACCACTTAGCTCTCCACTCCCTGAGATTTATCCATAAAACAAATCTCAACTTGACCGGTAGATAAGATCCTTGAATGCTTACTCTCTTCGGGTTTGGGAAACCACATTGCCTCAAAAGCACCTGCACTCTGAAATTCACAACACTCTAAACCAACACTCCACACCTAAATAATCTCAGAGAAGCATAAGCTTCTTTCCCAATTAATTTAATCTCGCTCCTGCTGGAAGGTGGTCATAAAAACAAATGGGCACCAACTTTGTTTCACAAATGTGGCATACAAGGGAACATACAACATTACAAAAACCTAGTCGGATAGACCGACCTAGTCTAATACCACTAATGTAGCACCCAAAAAACCCAACAAGTAAAATTGCAAAATAATCATTCACTTAGGGTGTCACATAATCTCATCAACGACCTATTCTGTAACACTTCTTAAATTAAAAAAATATCATATTGAGACATCCGTCATCACATGCTCTCCTTTACATAGGCTCATCACAACTGAATAGATCAAAAAACTTAACTTGTTAATTAAATAAGTCACATAGTGTCGCACCCTAAAATTTGCCCTCCTAATTTCTTTTATTTTGGCTTAGACTTTTGCATTCATCTGCATCTATTTCATTAGGTCACTAACATGGCATACATTTCATTCAATTTAGCTCTGAGGTTCAAAGTTCAGTGGTAGTGCGATACTAGGGTTTCACAGTGGTTAAGGCGCTCATATCCGATAAAGGATGATTTCTTATTCAGGCAGCAAGCTGTGGAATTAGGGTTTTGCTTCAATGTTCAAATTGAATTTCTTCTCCATCAAGCTACAAGACTATTATCTTCTGCTAAACAATAGGTTGCAGGGTATTCCTGTCAATAACGTAAGGTCGTGATCTCGTGTACATGATTCAAAACACCTCATTCTATCATTGTGCTTATCATTTGGTCAAGGTTTTGTCAACACTAGAGGTGTATTAAGATCTTCTCTAAAGGATCAAGATCTGTTATCAATCCAGGATGCATATGATGCTTGCATTACAGGTTGTTGACTATGTCATTGTTGCATTAAGTTCATCTATCCTTAAGTTAATCAATTAGGATTGGGTACGTCATGATTTAAGATATTTTGTATGGTAAATTTGGTTGCTTGACGGTCAAGGTATTGCGAATAATTGGTACAAGCTATTGTTTGGATATTTGTGCAAGAACTTTGGTTTCAAACATGGATTAAGGTTCAACTTGATAAAAAAGGAAATAGCGTGCCCGAAGGTTTATTTCATGAATTCTTGCGGAGGAAGATGGCACATGAATATAAGTTGAGATTAAAGTACATGGTATCAAGTAAATCTCTTCATGATCCAAGTTGTTATTTTCAAGATTATCCCACATTATTGTTCATCCCAAGGTAAAAGATGAAAAGATTCATATGTGGTGGGGATATTTCTGACAAAAGCTGCTCAATTGAGGAAGATTTAGCTGATGTTGATACTTCAATACAATTTAAGAATATACCAGACTCTTTTGTCAATCTTCCTGCCGAGTCATATCCACTTGTGATAACATTCAAGAAATATCTAATGATGCTTGATGGAACTTTAGGGAATTCTTATTTTGAAAGATTTAGTGATCTATCTTCTGAGAACCTTGGTGCAAGATCTGTTGCTTTGGAGACTTTTATAAGGAAGAAGGAAGTGACTTATGACAGGTTTGATGCATTGTATTGGCCGCATTTCAATTCCCAACATACCAAGACGTTAGATTCATCCAGAGTGTTTAGAGAAATTGTGTCACATATAAAAGGCGGTCTGCAATCTGTGGAGTCTGATGAAGGGAAGTTAAGTCGTCAGGATTATCTTTCATTGTCTGAAAACCGAGCGTCAAGTTTAAGCAAGCAGAAGAGGGAGATCATTTATGATATTTATCAAAGTTATGAGAGAATGAAGATGGATAAAGGGAAAGTTTCGGAAACATTTTTGTTGAATCAGAACTTTCGGGCTCATGCTGGAGTGCTTAAGTTATCTCAGAGCACCATTGAACTTCTTTTCCGATTTTTCCGCATTCAATTGATGTTTTAAAGCCTGAGACCAGTTTGATATACGGGGAAGCTCCTGTTGTTCTTGAATGTAGAAGCAGAAAAAAATGCTATTGTAACTATTTTTGGCAACACTGGACATGATGGTGGGAAGATTGTCGGCTTCGGAGCCGAGCAAGTGATATTGGTACGGGATGATTGTGCTCGGAAGGAAATTTTAGACTATGTTGGGAAACAGGCTCTTGTTTTAACTATTGTGGAGTGCAAAGGGCTTGAGTTTCAGGATGTATTACTGTACAACTTTTTTTGGAACTTCACCTTTGAAAAATCGATGGAGAGTGATTTATGAGTACATGAGTGAACAAGATATGTTGGAACTTACAAAGTCCAAGTCTTTTCCAAGTTTCAATGATTCTAAACACAATATTTTTTGTTCTGAACTGAAACAACTATATGTAGCTATAACTCGTACAAGACAGAGATTATGGATATGCGAGAATGCAGAAGAGTTTTGTAGACCTATGTTTGATTATTGGAAAAGGAAGTATCTTGTACAATTCAAAGAGCTGGATGATTCACTTTCCCAGGCAATGAAAGTTGCAAGTAGTCCAGAAGAATGGAAGTCACGTGGCAAAAAGTTATATTATCAAAATAACTATGAAATGGCCGCTCAAGTGTATGCTAGAGGAAGTTTCTTCTCCGACTGTTTGAATGTTTGTGCCAAAGGTGGATTATTTGACATTGGCTTGCATTACATTCATCATTGGAAACAAAACGAAAGTGCTGACCCTGGTTGGGCTAAAAGCCATGATCTGTATACAATTTCACTACAGTTTGTGGTGGATTATTAAATTGAAATGAAGACAACTTGAGTCAATATTATCAATTCACAAATTGTCAAGACTTGGGAATCACATTGATGCTTTAAGGGAGGTTGCTAAACTTCCATTTTCGCCTCTAGATCCTCGAGAACCTGATACTTCTGTTGAGGTGTTTGAAAATTTATCTCCTCATGTCCAAGCTTGTATACCAGACCTCTTGAAGGTTGCTCTGACTTGTCTGGAAAATGTGGCAGACTCTGATGGATCGCTTCGTGCCTTGAGGGCTAATACTTCCAGTTTTATTGCAAATAATGTAAAGAGGAATTGGCCTCGTGATTTGTATGAAAGAGTTTCTTGAACATTCAGGCTTGTCAGCAGATCAAGAATATGCAGTGGAGCTAATTGGAGGTGCTACCAGAGTGCCAAAGTTACAGGCTAAGCTTCAAGATTTCCTCAGTAGAAAAGAACTTGATTGGCATCTTGATGCTGATGAAGCAATAGTTCTTGGTGCTGCTCTGCATGCTGCAAATATAAATGATGGAATCATAAACAGAATTACAAACTAACAAATAGTGCCAGCTCATTTCAAGGTCACATAACTGAATTTCAGTTTCAAAAAAATTCTCAAATGTAACTAACTTCAATAACCACCCCTAACTGTCTATAACAGAATTTCATAACCAATTAACAATAAACTAACTGCTTTCTAATAGATTTTTGAAAGCTATATACCAGGGGGGATCAATATAAAAAAGAAAAAGGGATTCATCAATAAAAAAATTTCATAAAGAACAAAATAAAACCTCTACAGCCTCCACCTCTGAACCATACTCTTTTCAAACCTCGACCTCCATCTTCAATCTTCATTTTCCTTCCTCAATCTCACAACTCTTTGCACCTTCAATCAATACCCACCTTCATTATTTATCCATCTCAAGCTCCCTCCAATTCTCTCATCATAGATACATAATAAGGTTCATTATTCAGGGAACGCACAGAAAATTTCTCAAGAAAATTCAGAAAAAGTCAGAGAAAAATTTACCTCTTTCATGAATCATTCTTCAACACCCTGAAGGATCACCAAAAAAATTATCTTCTCCTCTCATCTTCACCTCATTCTTTAATTTCTTTGGAGAATCACCAAAATCAATCTCTGAAAACTCTCTCTCGCCTTTTGAATTTCATCTTCACCGAGCCTTCAAGCATCACCTTCCTCTGCATCTTCTCAACCATTTTTCTGAACCACCATTTTCCACATTCCCCTATTCACTCGTCATCACCATTCACCTTCACGCCATAACCGCAACTCATCTACATTATTAAGAATCCCTCATATCAAACTTCATCTTACTCCTTTCACAACCACCATTGACTCATTCTTCATCCAACTTCTGTCACTCATCAACCTCACCTTCTGCAAACCAAAGGTCAATTGCAACACTGATTCATGAATCTGTAACACACGTAAAACACAGAGAAAACGTAACTAGTAGAAGAAGAAGTTCTTGAAAACGCTACATGCAAAGAAGTAGCATTACCTTTGGTTTTATTGGCGAATATCGTCGCCTCAAAACTGAAGATACTATATGCATTTTTGTTGGTTTGCTCTGATCGAAGGAGGTGAAACATGAACGAGGCGTAATTTTGAAGGAGGTGACTGCGGATCTGAGATGAAGAACGAAAGCAAGAACCACAACACGTATAGCAAACATCGCACAGTTCTGTAGTGAATTCAACAACATCACTTCAACAATTTCAACACGGCATCGACATCACAACCTGCAACATAGATCAATACAAATTCACTGCCAATGATTCATTCAACGATAGAAAGTAAACTGAAGAAGAAGATCAGAAAATAGAAGTGGATTTTGAATAAGATCGAAGAAGAAGCTTCAGCTAAGAACAAAAGCAACGGAAAAGGGAAAACCTTACCTGTATCATGTGTTAAGGTCTTCGCGTCAGAATTTTGAGATCTTCCAAACAAGTACTTCCTTCAGTCATTTTTACTCCTTTGTATGCGTAGAATAGCACTCCTTGGACACCTCCCACCGAAGCACCCGATCTTGGCGATTTCTTCGAAATTGAGAACCGTTCGAATACAATGGTTTGATGCCATCTTTGAGTATTCGGAGAAACTATGGGGATGGTTAGAATCAGAAAAGAGAGTACAATGTTTTTCGTATTGGAGTTTTGTTGTTTCGGCGAACGAATCTTGGTGAATGGCATCCATGGCCGCTGTGGAAAGCGTGTATCCCATTGGTTCCTTCACAAAGGCTGAAGAAGAGAGAAAACGCATTAGGGCTAAGCGTTGACGACACCGTTTATACACTCTATTCCCTTTTTCATTATTATTTACCCTTTTATCTTCTAGTGCGTCAGTTTTAAATCTTAGTTGAAAAAGATAATATTGTTGGATTGTTGTTTATTTTGATAGATGGGCCAAATGCTTGCAATGGGCCAGTAACATGCAATTTTTTTTCCACATGTGAGACTTGAAAAAAAAAAGGGGCTTGCTCATGATCCTTGAAAATGATGGGCCTTGCGTCTAGGGTCGACTACAAACCACACCCCTGGATTACTGGCTTTTACCCCCTGAGCTTAGTAATTTCTTTTAAGTAATTGTGATAATTGTTTTTTTGAATTTTATTCACATGATAAAAATAATAAAATTCAATAAAATTTGTTAGATTTTGATTTTTAGGAATTAAATCGGGATCATCCGATTATTTGAGATTTGTAATTCACCTTTTCTTGTTAGGATTTGAGTCTTATGCAGGTTCATTGTGCGATACGCGGATATGCTCAAGATTTCGATTGTGATTCAGTTTCACACCGATAGTGCTTCGACATTTATCTTGAACATTTAATTTCAGACTCTTTTCTTTGCTTGGTGGAGCTTACTCAAAGTTTTCTGGATATCTTTGTTTTGATATGCATTGCTAGAGATTGATATTTGTTTGGTATTTTCTCTTGTTTATCTCATCTCGCATTTCATAGCTTTCTAAAAATCATGAGAAATAGGGCTTTATCGCAAACCATATGCATGCTAACATTAGGTAGATGTTTCCCTTTCATTCATCCTTGACTTAGGGCTACTAATGCATGATAACATTAGGTTTAGAAATAGGCTAGCCCCCCTTTGACTTTTCTTTCTCCTTTTGCATATGCATTTAAAACAAAAAGCTTCTTTTTCCTTTCAAAATTCAAAACACTTAAAAAATTTCTGACGAGAATCATATCTTCGTTAAGTATGTGAGACAATAAGCGGGTTTCTTCTCAGTCTTATTGTTCTCCTATTGTAAGCTTTTGTGTGGTTCAAGTCTCAAAGAATCATTTCATGAATAAGTAGAGACATGGCTAAAATCTCTCTCTTGAGATCAACTAGCTATTATCTACAAGCAAAAATACCAACCAATACAAACTCTTTTTGCCTTCGGGCCCTTCCTTTCAAACTCTTTTCAAAAGAGCGTACTAATTCACTTCTGTGCTGACGCGTAAATCTCCAAAGGTCGAGTTGCGGAAGAAGGCGAAATTACTATCGTTCATTCAAGAAACAAACGAATTCAAAACTTTTTGTGCGTCCAGGCACATTTCTTTCCAAACTTTTCAGAAGAGCATGTTAATTCACTTCTGTGCTGACGCGTAAGTCTCCAACGGTCGAGTTGCGGCAGAAGGCGAAATTAATACTGTTTAGTAAAAAATACAAACAAACAAAAACATATAAGCCGAACTACGGCTGCTCTGATTCCTTAAGAGGGATACGTAGGCATCGGGGTAGGGCCCGAACGAGCACAATTTTATTTTCCCTACATTCTTTTCTCCTTATTTCGCATGCATTTTCCCTTTAGTAGTATAATAAACAGTAAGCGTAGATTAGACACACCCATAAGATAGACAACAAGAGTGGATACCATAGAGTACTACGGGCGTGTGGGGTGCTAATACCTTCCCTTCGCGTAACAGACTCCCTTACCCTCATCTCTTGGTCGTTCGACCTTGATTTCACCCTTTTCAGGTTTCCTCGATGTTTACCTTTCCCTACATGTGGGATAAAAGACGTTCAATGGCGACTTCATTGTTTGATGATTTTCAGCCGGTTGTTTCAGCTGGCGACTTCACTGGGGATAATATCAACCAAATGCTGGTCCATCCCGGAGTCGCTCCTAGCTCTTGCTTTCTTTTCTTTTGGGTGTTTATTTTTATGCTTTCAGTTTACTCATTTGTACATGTTTATCTGAGCATAAGTTTGCATTGCATTTTATGGCTTTCCATATTTGTTATCTATTATGCTGGACTCTGTTCTCTATGTTGGGTGGGGATGTCACTATTAAGGTAAAAGGCCCAGTACCCAGGCCATAGTGCACTAGGACACTAGGAATAGAGTGGGGGCATGACGGCTATAGGACGTGGTCCAATTAGTGCAATCATGTCATATACCACGCTCGGATGAGGTTCAAATGAATTACTATCGGCACCCACGTCTGTGGGCAAGCCCATAGCACTTTCAGGCGAACCCATGATTTTCGAGTTACCATTATCTTACCCTGACCTAGTTTTCACCCGTGAGTGGGGAGGGAATTTTATCACAGGTACAGTTGGTGACTATGTTCAAATGGTTACTCATGCTCAGATGGAGACTGTGATCAGACAGTGACTATTGGTTCTAATGGTTATATTATGGATTTCTGTTGGTGACTTATTCAGATGTCATATCCTGTTGAGGACTACGTGGTTCTCAGATTTATTTTCTGAGTTCCTGATTTTGTTTACCTGGAGATTTATTCAAGCCTTTGATCTTGGCATTCCCAGCGTATTCAGAAAACGCTCAACAGTATCTGATGTTCCAGAAGCCTTGACCCTGTACAATGGGTGATCTACATAGTACTTGGTTCTTATGTGCGGAAGCTGTGCCAGACCTCTAATCTGATGATACTCGCAGCAATCATACCCAGAAATGATGGAACCTTAATCCCATTTAACCTCATGCCTTTGCATATATAACATGGTTAACCGCATACTTAACATACATGTTCTGTGATTTCCAAGGAATCGTATTTGTGAGCCTAGTGCCAAACTTTTCCATCTTTTACTTACATAAAATCAAAATCAAAGCACGTAAATTCCTTGGAAATGACGGAACATGACATGGCATTCATTCATGCACCCCATGCATATTTATGCATTCATAACAGGCACCTGAAGATTGGGGATTCTTATTCAGACATGGTTCTCCTCAGAGGTTCAGCTTGATTCTTACTACCACATGCTCAGGGATCAGTTAGGGAATAACTCCATATGGTATACCTACAAGCTTTGGCCTGTAGTCAAAAATATCTTCAAGCAGGAAGATAATTGATTAAAGACTCAAGATGAACCAAGTCATGGAAGCTCTAATGATGATCAATAAATTTACTGCCGCAACAGGTTCTCTTGTTTCCTCATCCTCTTTTGGGAATTTTTTCCAACCATGAGTGCTACGCAATCCTGAGTTCTTAGAACATCTTATCAGGAGATGGTTCCCATTTACTATGAGATCTTATATCAGTGCTTCGTTCTTGTTGATTAACGGCAGGTGTAGTTGCCACACTAGGGCATCAGACTTTTTAATCGGGGGCATCCTCCATAACTTTGTGTTCCCTAATTTGTTCAACAAGAGCCAGTCTTTATTCCCCAAGTGAATTCATGGGGAAAGCTTTTAAGCCAAGACACAAGAACCCTGATGAGCATGCTAATGCAAGCCCAATGCATTACATCCTATTATTCCCAGTTCTTCCTAGCTCTGATCTTTGAGGTATTCCTCCCACAAACATCTCTTCTGATTACGACATGTATGCTAGATACACCTCCTATTCTGGGGTACCCGGTTTTGATATTGAAGACTACAAAGGGGTTATAAAAGCCCAACACCTGTTTGGCGTCTCTTCCAAAACTCTCTTTCACCAGGTGGATGTCTCTTTTGTTTTGATAGAAGACAGACTGTATTAGTTTTTTGTGGCGTAGTATGCCTGATGATGCATTTTTCACTTGAAAAAAAGCATTCAGTTGTTCTCCTGAAAGAATCTTCTAGGCATATTATTCTGGGGCAATTGATCATTCGATTGAAGAGAGTACGTCATCTAGAGACAAGGCCCAAGACGAGATCAATCCATAGACCGTAGTGTCCAAATCATATCAGAGGGAGAATTTTCTCACTCACCCCATGCATCTTCATGCATCCATAGAGGGTACTCAGAAGGTACTCGGAATGGGGAACCCTTATTCGGATTCAGTATTCTCTTTTCAAGAACTGCCAATCTTGACGTCTCACTGCTTCATGATCAGATTCAAGTTATGAAACAACCTTGTGAGGAATTGGATGAGATAAATGGGGCTATTTATTGGGGATATGCAAACAATGGCATGTAGTTAGAAATCCTCAAGGAGAAAAGATAGCCAATTGAAGACTCGGTTGAGTCGGGTATATAATTTTTAAAGACAGTGTCGACAAAGAGAGGTGATCTTGTATACGTTGTTGCAACATGAGCTGTCATTCATCCCCAGCCTATGGGACTTTTTTTTTCAAATCATGAGATACTTTATGGGTCTCACCCAGAGCTTCGTGTTCTCGGATTTCCTTGCTAGCAGCTAGTTTCTGGTCTCCAAGTGAACCCATGAGGTAAAAATTACCAGCAGAGACAAAGAAAGCTTGAGAGGCAGGTTGATAAAATATCTATACCTTGTATCTAGTTACTTCCTTTTATGTTGGAAGCTCAGTTGATTAAGATTCGTGCTTTGGGCCATCCTCCAACAAATTTCTCTCCTGATTTTGATACAAATGCTAGATGTGTCTCCTACTCTGGGGCACTTAGTTAGGATATGGAATACTGCAAGGGGCTGAAGTATGAAGTTTGGTACTTGTTTGGCTTCTTTTCCAAGGTTCAGTCCATGTTTGAAAAACCATTTCAGACTCTTTTTCCTCAGTTGCATTCTTTTTATGTATAAGTATAAGATGGGGTGATGCTTCTGTGATGGAGAAGTGTAAGACGTCGAGTTCTTGGACATCTGTAGTTGTGTAAAAGAAAAATACCTCAAAAGTCGAATGATATATCCAGAGTTTACTTTCTTCTGTGTAGTAGAAGATTCTTTGTTACAGTTTCTGGATTTCTCTTCTGTGTAGTAGAAGACGGAGACTCTTTTGTGAAGCATGGGATTCTCCATAATTCAGTTGCTAAAGCTTCTCTCTTGTGAAGTAGAAGATGAAATTTAGTTTCTTCTGCGTAGTAGAAGATTCTTTGATACAGTTTCTGAATTTTGCTT